TTTCACTCGTTCCAAGCATTTCACATTCTCTTTTGTTTCAGCCATTTACTGCACATCCCACTGATGATCAATTACATTATTTTTATTTTTTGCAATCAATTGACTTTTTATTTTTATAGTCATTTCATTCCTTTTCCTTTTCTCCATGTGTGTTTTCCCATTACCCATCCTTGGCACTACAAAAAAATGTTCCGTCTCACATTCATAACCTTTCATCATCAATATTTATCTCACTCTTTCGTCATAAACAATGAAACTTATCAAATTAATCACACTTTTAGGTATACAGGGTGTATCAAAAGTCAGTCTTTATAGGTCAACTACAATGCCTTACTATTTTTTTTTTCATAGAAGATGCCACTGTACTTAGAAATATTCAAAGGTCACATGTCAAATGAGTAAGGAAATGTTTAAAAGAAAATGGCCACCTGTTCAAATATGCAATATAATCAATATAATAATTTGTTTATTGGGCCCGACTGTTGGTACACCTTGTAGATCGTTCCCTTGTCATACACAGTACAGACTTACACCTTTGAAAAAAAATTTTTTTATAAATATCGTCATTATATTTCATACACAAACATTAAAATACAATCATAAGAGGGGAGAGGGGAGAGGAATAACAGATTAAAAAGTGACAAAAAATACATCAAACAAATATAAAACAAGCATATAAACATAAATATAAATAAATAAATAAATCATATAAACATTTTTCTAAGCTGATACTTACCAAAGGGTAATTGGCATGTTTTCAAGATAGTTGTAGATAAAACAATAAAATAGCATTACTGTGACAATGGTGCTTTCTGAGTTTGGCTGTTTTCTTATAGACATTTCATCACCCAAACTAGGTAATATTCAAGAAAAAAACCAAGCACACAGAGCACCAATGACGACTCATTTCAACCTTTAGCTACAAATATTCTCCTTTATTAATTCCTGCAACCTTTGAGGTACTATATTTTTTTTAACTTGAACTCCCTGAAAAGGTAAACAGTCTGAAAGCTTATGGGGGCTTTGATGGATAAGAACAGGCTTTAATTTAATCCAAACAAGATTGGCTATGGGTTTGTGGAACCTGAATTTGGAAGACTGTCTATCTTTAGGTCTAGATCAGTGGTTCTCAACCTTTTTAATGCCGCGACCCCCAACCGGTCGTAAGTCGAGGACTACTCAACTGGTTTGCAGAATGGGACTTTTGGCGGGCTCAGCAGGGCAGAGACAGCCTGGACAATTCCTATTGGCTTTTGAAAGCCAATAGAATTAGACTCTATTCAAGAGAGTCTATTCTATTGGCTTTCAAAAGCCAATAGAATAAAAGGGAGTAGCACAGCTAAGGAAAAGGGGGAAAAAATGGCAGACTGCATTGTTTGGCGACCCCCGTGAAATGGTCATTCGACCCCAAATGGGGTCCCGACCCACAGGTTGAGAACCACTGGTCTAGATGGAGATGCACTCCCCCATACAAAACCTAGGCATATTTGGGGGTCCTCTTGGACCTTCAGCTCCTGAAGACAAAGCAGGTAGTAGCATCTATAGCCAAGGGGATATTTGCACAAATCCATCTCCTGTACCAGTTGTGCCCTTTCCTGTATTGCAACATCTTGCTTATGGTCACTCATGTCTTGATCACCTCCCGTTTGGACTACAGCAGTGCACTCTACATAGGGCCTGCCCTTGAAAACCACCTGGAAGCTGCAATTGGTCCAGAATGGAGGGGTATGAGTAGTTAGGTGTGCATTTGTGAAATACCACTGCTTCACAACTTGCACCGGCTCCCTATAGGTATAACTGAGATCTGTTATGATTTTTTTTATGGTACTAGGCTGGGTTATTTGCGTGATTACCTATCTCCAATCATCTCTGTTTTATGTGACTCAGCAGATTGGACATGCTACAGATCCCTTCTACAAAAGTGTCACCTGATGGAACACTGCAGATGTGTTTTCTCTATTGCAGCATCTGCCCCATTGAAGAACATACCGCCTGAGATTCAGATGACTCCAGTCCTACTGGCCTTCTGTAACTTGCTTCTTTCTCCCAGACGCTGGGCCAGAGCATGGGATGAATGCATCCAAAAATCTTGAATGGAATATATGATGGTTGGCCTCCGTTATTGTATGAGATACATTCTTTAACTACAGCTTTGTAGATTTATATGCAGGAGAACAATTTTAACTACTGAGAGCAGATTTTAATTTGTAGATATTTGGAAGTTCATCTCCGTTTTTATTATTGTTATTCTTTTAGCTTTGATACATTGTAATGAAGAATAACAGATTAAAAATGGTAATTTCCTCGCAAGTCTGAGTCTGGAGCCTTTTATATAATAAGGTGTAAGTTATTGCTCACTTCCTTAAATAGCACGGAAATCTTTTTGAAACTATATCCACTTTAATGATTAACTGTTTAAAGAATGGTTCTCGATTAAAATTAATTAACTGATTTAATACTCCTAGTCTAATGCCTATTATATTTCTGGACTATCCATTATCAATATATTTATATTTATGTTGTGTCTTTTGATTATCTAGTATTCCTGTGGGATTGAACTGTTTGTTCTAAATGAATTTGATTTTGAATGCGTATGAAAATCCATAAAAATTGGTTGAGTTCCATTTCTGGGGCCTGAGAACAACCCCATTCAAGATCTGAAAGAATAGAAAATTGAACCCCATTATTCACCATGCTGTATTTTTAGACTTAGATATCATGTATAGATTACATTGTGAAAATATCTGGGAGCCAATTGTATACAATTGGTTGGTTCATACTGGTAGAATGGATCAAAGGAATTTATATAAAAGATGGGATCTGGAAAAAGAAATGAAAATGATCATGAAAATATGCAAGAATCTAAGAAAGGGTGGTATTATGAAACAATATTCTCAAATCTGACCAGGAAAAGAAAATAGGCAGAAAAATGGGAAAATCAATATTTACAGATTATTTTGAGCTAAGCAGACTCATTAGCTGTAGATTTCAATTGTGTAATTTTAGAATCTGGACTGGGTAAGCCTGTTGGGGAAAAAACCCTTTTAAGAGGCCATGCAATCACCTTTTCAACAGATATTAAGTCTGTCCTGTTGGTTGAGGGAGCCAGTTGTATTCAGACTTGTAAAGCTGTGATGATACCATGTACTATGTAGAACAGTGTTTCTCAGCACCCTTAAGATATGTGGACTTCAACTCCCAGAATTCCCCAGCCAGTATGCTGGCAGTGGAATTCTGGGAGTTGAAGTCCAGACATCTTAAAAGTGCTAAGGTTGAGAAACAATGGTGTACAAGTTAAGCCAATAATCATGGCCAACAAATACTGATCTACATTCTCAACTAAATTTAATTAATCATTGCAAGTCTTGATAGACTTCCTCTGAAAATGATTTGTGTGATTTTAACAAGCTTTAGTTCTGAGCAAAGAAAATATTCACAAGAACATTTTCCCGATGAAATGAAAAGGGACTTTGCACAGAAGTATTTTGTATTTTCTTTTGTAGATTTCTATACTATTCATTTAATGAGGTTAAGACAGGGTAATATGTAAAAACTTTGATATCAATTCTGAAAAAAGTAGGGGGGGGGACAACAAGACTTGAGATTATAATGCAGTAGGGCTATAGGGTATTTCACTAGTTAAGATTATTCAAAGACAATGAGGATGATGCTAATAATGAATAAAAGAATTTATGCCATGCCTTTCAGTGTGCTCTCAAGGTGGATCACAAACAATTGCTATTACAGTAAAAATACTTTTTAAAACATGAAAATAAAGGAGTAACACAAAAAAGTTTAGTGGAAATAATATGTCCAAAACAAAATATTGTCTTTTTGTATCTAAGCAATCACTATTATTTCCAGAATTGTAGAAACAGGTGATTTCCCAAGTGTTGTAGGATTTACCAGTCCCCCCCCCATTTCTTGTACTATAGTAATAAAGATTTTCAGCCTTAAATAACATGACAGAAAGCCTTGATAAACCCCTTCACCTTACATATCCACTTCTTCCTACTGAGAGGATCAAACTGGATGGGCTACAGAAAACAATGTTCAATCTCACCTTTTTCCTATAATTAAAATATTTCAGGAGAGAACTGGCGAATAAGCAAGGAAATGTTTAACTCTTTCTCAAGTTATTGGTTATAAATCCCCACTTGAAACTTATTTTTCTTCAAAATGGGTTCCATGGTTAGAAATGACTCCAGACCTGAATAGGAAAAGCTCCTATAGTGGATTCTGGAGGGACAAAATGACAAGCAGGGCAGGGTTCTGGTTAGCAACTCCCTGGCTTGTTCTGATCCCTCCCTGTAAGGGGTCCCTTACTCTCACATTCCTACTATCTTGGCAAAATGAGAGGCAGGGGTAAAAGAAGTTGAGTGGTTGTGCTTGTCGTATCCAGCCGCAATAAACTTTGCTTAGTTTTAGCTTAGAGTGTTGTGAAAACTCAACCCCTCCATTTTGCAAACCATCGTTTATAATGATTTGTGATTGGGCCTTATTTAACAACTGTATGGCTTAGCATAATGTGTAAAAGTAGTGCATGTCTAGCATGGCCTTATAGCAATAGCACTTAGACTTATATACCGCTTCACAGTGCTTTAGACTACAGCACTCTCCAAATGGTTTACAGAGTCAGCATATTGCCTGCAACAATCTGGGTCCTTGTTTTACCGATCTTGGAAGGATGGAAGGCTAAGTAAACTCTGAGCCGGTCAAGATCGAACTCCTGGCAGTGGGCAGAGTTAGCCTGCAATACTGCATTCTAACTACTGCGCCACCATGACTCATAGACAAACATCATATATCTAATTGGAATTGACAGCCCCAGTTTATAGGTAAATGAATTCCTTAGCATTAATGAAGCTACTGATTCTCTGTGCATCTCCTCATGGGCAGAAATTATACATCAACAATTGTCTTCCCAGGATATGGAACCTCAGTCATTAGGAAGCCAAAGCAATATCCTCACCAGTTTTTCATAAATACAAAGCCAAGGATACAATTTATTTGTTTATTTATTTAAAACTTGAACTGTATACAGCCGCCCATCTTATAATATAGAAACTATAAAAACTAAGCATGTTAAAAAATGTTAAATACAACAAAAATCTCACACGAAGTCATATACTCTCTTATCCGAGCGCTTGGAGGAAAAGCCAGGCCTTCAAAGCTTTATGGATGACTAGAAAAGTAGAGAGGCCTGTTGAAGTCCAGTGGTCAGAGTGTTCTGCAGGGCAGAGGCTGCCATTGAATAGATATTCTTCCCAGACATCCTTTCCTAGGGATGGGCAGTACAGGTTACCTTCAGATGAATCATGTTAAAATTATGAAAAGAAAATATGAAAATTTGCTTTGGCGAATTCTTGTGGACAATGCCAAAATTTATATTGGACTTACTTCACTGTCAAAAAGATATCTTAATGAGGTGTTAGCTAATTAAGCTAGTTAAAAGCCAGAGACAGAGAGAAAGAGAGAAAGAAGGGGTGGAGGGGGAGAGAGAGAGATTGTTATTAGATTATAACTGCTAAACTCTGTCCACAAGTTAATAAATTAATACCCTTTTATTAAATGTCCACTATCACGAACAAGCAAACATTTATGTAACTTCTTCCAGTAATAAGCATTTTTGCAACAGAAGTGGTTAATTCCAAAAGCTGTCTTAAGCTAAAGAAACATTTCAGTTTTAAGCTTCTGAACAAAATTATCAGTTTGCTTTTTAAGACACCTTTTCTGATTAATTTTGACAGTGCAACAGGCCATTGCTGCACTAATTAAACATCTGGGATTATCAACTGAAAATTAATCTTCAGGCTCATCTTCTGCACATCTGGCCTCAAGAGACACTCTAAATAAATAAATAAATAAATAATACCAGGGTTAGGTATTCCTTGCCTTCTGATTGCGGTAACAATGTGTGAATACTAACCAACTAAAGTAGCTCATTTCTCTGGAAATAGATTTTTTTTTTAAGTTCTGCATTTTGGTTCCAAAGCTCCTGCTCTAATACGCTAAGCAACAATCTTAAGTGTAGAGTTGTTTACAAAATTGTGATTTTAGATAATTTTGCATTCTTAACGTCCTGTAAAAGTTAGCCAAATGATGACTGAATTTGTACCAATGCACCAGACCATAAATTAGCCAACCACATTTGTGTGGTGTGAATTCATAATGTGGTTAACCCTTGAGTCGGTAAGCTGGCCAAAACCATAAAATGGATTTTGAGTAACCATTGATTAATCACAATTACATGGGTCATATGAACACAGCCTAACATTTTGTTAAAAATAATTGAAGTCTCATGGTTTCAGTTCTGTTCAAAGGTAAACATGGTTAGAATTGCAATTCTATTCAGAAAACAACCATGATGTATACAGACGAATCTCCATTTCACCAAGATCCAAGGGTTGGTTTGGGGGCATTTATGGATAAATCGGAATTGTCTGTGAGCTTTATGGTTGAAGATGGCTTTGAACATGGGACATGCAGTTACTTTGGAATTGTGTTGATATACAGCCTAATCCCATGTTTGCGCACCTCCGATCCTCACTTTTGCTAACCCACTTTAGGCTGCAATCCTACTTACCAAAAAGTCCTAATTCCTGTTCATGCATTTCTGAGGATGTGTCACACAGGAGGCTCTACCGGGCCAAGCTTTCAGAGAGCCGGCACACAATCGTGTTCGTGTATATATTATTAACACTCCTCAGGATGCAGCCCCGCCCCCCATTCATCGTTTGTTGATGCTGACAGCTTCCTGCGAGTCTGCAGCGTGCTTGACCAGATGTTCCTCGCCCCCCCCTTTTTTAAAGACTTGTACCGACCCTGACAGCTCCTGCCCGACCTTTTTTCTTCCAGAACACAAAGTCTCACCAGGATCGTTTAAACTTTAAAAAAAAAAAAAAAAACACCTCCAACTGCCCGCGTATTCATATCCTGATGCCCAATTTAAGATGAATGCCCAGTGCCCATAACGTCGTGTGTGTAAGGGTCTGCAAGCTGCTGAAAAGCAAAATAACTTACATTCTAATAGCGCCGCTGTTGCTGCGCGGTTGGTATTGTCCGCCTAAGTTTAGACAAGATCACCCCGGCAGGAGAGGCAAGCTTGTTGGCCACAAAGCCCACTGTCAACAAAGCGCCGCGGCGTTGCTTGCAACATAATTGATTCCTCCCTCTTTCTCCGGCTCTTGCAAGCACCTCCCTCCGTCAGGCCCCAGCTTTGTCCGGCAGCTCTTCTATCCCGCTCTCTCCTCCCCCCCCCCCCGGCCACAACCTAAGCGCCTGAAGGATGAAACGATCCAGACCCGGAGTCCCGCGATCAGTCTAATGCAATCGCCCGGCTGACCAATCGATCGCTCCCTTCCCCCCCCCCCGCCCATGCCCTCCACGAAGCTCGCGGCCCGGGAGGGTAAGGAAAGGAAGAAGGGTTCCAACTAAAGGCCCCAAAGTAGAGAAGAGAGAATACATTATTTTAAAAATAGTAAACCGTATCTTTTTTTTTTTTTGTCCAGGTAGATCAAAGGGGGAAAAAAGTTTGGTAGTTTGCTGAATTGCGGGAATCCCCAAAAGATATGCCTAGAGTGGACTTGCTTGGCATTCCCTGCTGCATCACAGAATAAGGGACCACTGATCAGGATGAAAGAGAGACTTTTTCATTGTTTTTTATTCCCCCCCAACAGTCCCAGAATTTCCGGGAACAAAGAAGGGAGATGCGGGGGAGGGGAGGAGGGAGGATGATTCCGGGTTTGGCTGCTCAGGTCTGCCTGTAAGGCTAAGCTTTCCAGTGTTATTGATCTTTGCACATTTCACCCCGCGGCCGCTGTAGCCAGACGAGGTTTCCTGTCTTTGTGGGAAACTTCGTATCCCGTGTCAGAACTCCTAAGGAAAAGCCTTCATTCCCCTAGCAACTTCCCACCAACAAATGCAACAAATATATTAGCTTAGAAATGATCAGATTCCCGGATGCATATAAAACACGTGCGTCCATTCTTCATATGAATGTTAACCCCTTCCTTTATTTAGGGAGGTACACACGTGACGAAGCGGAGTGTTATTCACGAAACTAGCATAAGCGACGGGAGCCTTAATTTATATAGGGCGAAGAAAAATGTCCCGTAAAAGCCTTTAGTTATTTACAATTCCGATTAGATTACTCTTACAGGTAAACAAGGAAAGAAGAATTTGTCTTCGGACCCTGACAATCTTTCTTCTTTATTCCAAACTCGAGGTTGAGCGGAAATGGGGAGGAAAGAACACCCGCTTTAAGATACTTTGAACAAAACCTAAAGAGTTTAAAAATTCTCATTAATCGAAGCCGGTACCACCCCAGTTCCCTTTACATAATCAGAGTGGATAATAAATCCCCACGCCTACTCTCAGGAAGAGTGATGAAACATCCGCTCTTACAGGTATGCCGATAAATGCCGGGATGAATAAAAGGACGCTAATTATGGGAGAACACAGATTCGCGTCAGAACAGGTGAAGCCGACGGCGCGCCTTCAGCGGCCGTCGGCAGAGTTACAGCGTTGACAATGATCGCCCGCCCCGTGTCCAGTAAACAGCCCCTCCAAGAGCATGAAGAAGTAGGAAAGAATCGGCGCGGCGTTAGCTTTAGGAATACAGGGTATTTGTTCAGGGTGGCGATTCAGTAACCAAATCCAGCCGCTGCCGCGTTTGCTTCGTGTAGGAAGAACAAACACCTGGAACGCGGATGACAAGTTGGCCACTGTCTCTCTGCTCGAGTGCCTGTTCCGCGGAGGCTCGCATTTACCCTCCCTTTCTCTGGATTGGGCTACTAGGAACCTTTAAGACAGGCGGCTTGTGCTTCCCCGTCTCTTGTAATTTATGCTGCGCTTCTCAGGCCGATTGCGTAGCTCAGCCGGAGCCAGCGGTGCGGCTGGGAGAGAGGAAGCGGCAGCCAGCGTAGCTTTTAATTTCGAGGTTGTCAAGAGGAAGCTATAGTAGCAGAGGGGAAAATAAAAAGTTGCTTCGCTCGGGAGAGGCCGGCGGCAGAATCCGCGCTTGACCCTCAGCCCTGCCGTGCAGAAAGGAGGGAACGGCGGCTCTCACACACGCGCACAGAGAGATACACGCTTACCCGCACAAAGACCGACTCGGATGTTATTACTGGAGCCCGGGCGCACGCTACGCGCGCGTCTACCTAGACTCCTCTCCGTTCCTTACTTTGCCCTGGGTCTGAATCTGGATCGGAGAGTGGATTTTTCAGCGGCGCTTTGGGGCGGAGAAGGGTGTCGTTCAGACATTTACTGCGTGGATGCCCTTCGCTTTCCCTTCCCCCTTTAACACGGCGTGCTGCTGCTGCTGCTCTGGCGGGGAGGCGGTGCGCGAGCAGCTGCTGCGTTTCCTGAGCAGACCGCCTTTTGTTTTTGCTATTGCACCGAATTAAGCCTTCCCGCCCCCCCACCCGTACCCCCACCCGCGGGCCCGGCAGGAAGGGGCAAATCGGAGGCAACTGCCCGTTCGGGTAAGCGGTTATCGCCTCCTTTCCACCCTTCCTTTCACCCACCCCCGGTGTACTTTGCTCGGCTGCTGCTGCTGCTGCTGCTGCTCCTCCTCCTCTTAAGGAAGTTTCCTCCCCTCTCTTCTTCTACCACCCGCGCCGCACTTCCCCTATTTCGCAGGCTGCCCGCCCCAACTCCTCGGGGAGGAAGGGCTGTTACCATCACCCCCTTATCTCGAGCGAGGCTGGGCTGGGTACAGACCACCCCCGGCCCCTCAGCGAGGCCGAATGCCGGTGGCCGCCAATTCGCCACCCCGCACGGTGCAGCAGCCCGACTCCCGCCCCTTCTCTGCCTCCGCCCGCCTCCGGGACCGGGACCCCGCCAAGCCCCACCACCACCCAGGGGCCGTCGGCGCCGACGAGCGCCAGGAGCCCCAGCGTCACGGCCAGGCCGGCGGGGAAGCGGCGGGGCGGACAGGCAGTAGTGGTGGCGGCGGCAGAGCGGCGGCTCCTTCCGGCGCCCCTTCGCCACCCTCTTTGCTCGCCTTCTTGCCGCCCTCGCCGCAGCTACGTCCCGCTGGGGGCCCTTCGCCGCCGCCGGAGCCCCCCCGGACTCGCTCCCGTTCTCGCTCCGGATTCTTCAGCCTCCTCGCCATGAACGGCGGCACTACCGCTACAGCTGCTGCTGCCGCCGCCGCCGCCGCGCACTTCCAGCCGCCGCCGCCTGCCCCACCGCATCTCCATGGGCCGAGCCTGCCCGAGTTAGCCGCCCGCAGCCAAGGCAGGGGCAGCCCCGCTGGACACGGGCACCCTCGAGCCCCGCCGGGTGCCCGGGCGCCCGCACCAGGTAATGGGGCCCTAGCGAGAGGGGGAAGCAACGGGAGCAGGCAGCTGGGGTGGCTGCGAGCTGGGGAGTTGTCTGGGCTTTGGGCGGCGGAGGAGGGGAGGGCACCGCGCGAACGAGCAAGGTCTTGGGAAGGCGCAGTTGAAGGGGAGCAGCCGCGCGAGGAGGAGGAGGGAGCGGTGGCCGAGCCAGACTGCTCCAGGCAGGCTTTGCGGGAATGGGAGGTGACAGGATGTCCGTGAAGTGACTAATAAAAGAGGGTTGAGGTGAATTATAAATGGATATAAAATGGGGGGGACAGAAAAATGGGGCGGGGGCAGAAGAGAATTTGGGAAGGTTTTGGCAGCTTTCCGATTAACCGTGTTTACTTGGAAGTGAAGTCCCACTGAGTTCAATGGGACGTAACTTCCTACCGAGGCGTGTTTAGGCTTTTCGCTTATTGTTTTTTTCCCCCCCTTACGCGTGCTTAGAATTGCACGGCTGGGTTCGTGTTGCTATCCTGAGACGCTCAAGATCGCCGAAACACCCTCCAATCCTTTTCCAGTCTACACGTTAATTATCAGAAGTCGGATCTTCGCCATAACCGAAGCGGCGTAATAATTGTAATCGGAGGCTGGGGAAAGGAAAGGTTAGGGAAGGTGCGTAAATGAGGCACAAGGGGAAGATACTGCTTAGTTTAAGGTTTGGGAGGAAAAAAATTGTTAAAAGAAAGTCAATTTCCCAGTAGTGCTTTTTGCTCTTTGTGGGTTCAGGGTTTGTTTATAAGCAATATCTGACTACATTTATTTTCCCCCCTTTTGATAGAAGGACAGAGAGCTAGTAATACTATTGTACTTTCTTTTTAGTACTTTGCTTCTGTCATACTGCGCTTTGCAATTGCAGTAGTATGTGCTCTACCGTTGCTGGTTAAGTTCTGATTCTTTAGTATGTGCTCTTAAGTCTGGGTGGATATGTGTGCTCTTAAGTCTGGGTGGACAATTAAAATAGTTTTGTCTCTTAGAATTGAAATTGGGAGATTGCAAACATGGGATGAAATGGCTATATCAGTGGATATGTGAGAATGAAAAAAGAGGGTCCATATTTTGGATTTGGAAGAAAATAGCAAGCAGCCTGAAAGGATATAATAGAGTTAACTTAGCAAAGTTTGACTGGATTGCAGCTAATATGTTTTTCAGCATGGGCAGGATCAAAGTTGGATAAACCAAAGTACACAATGGGAGAGTAGTTTATTTAATTTGTATATCATAATACCTGAAATTTTGAAATGTCTGTCAAAAAAAAAAAAATACCAGGGGTGCTTGCTGGATTATATGTATAGTCCAGTGGCTCCCAACCTTTTCTATACCCTGCACCCCTAGAACACTTCTGATATATTCTCGCAACCCTTACAAAAGTTCAAAACAACGGCAATGAATTATGCATATACACTATAGTTTTGAAAAGTTTTCACACCTCCTGGAATATTGTCTCGCACCCCTGGTTGGGAACCCCTGGTATAGTCCAATAACGAAGCTGCTGTCATACAAACAGTATGTACTGAAAGCTAAATTTTGCTTTTAAGTCAGTGTGTGAATTTTCCTTTTGCTACAAGAAGGAAAATATATAGTTGTGGTAGATCATTTTTTTCTTTTTGTGCTTTTCTAGTAAAGCTTCTCAAAATAAAACATCTATTTCAGCAATAGCATAAACTGAAGTATGTCTAGGATTAGAGTGTGTTACCTTATTCCTCTAAACCAACTAATAGTTTGTTTATATTGGTTGCATTTTTAATTTATTTATTGCATTTATATGATACCCCTGTCACCTATATGGCGACACTGGGTTATATAAACATTTTTTATATGAACTTTGTAGACTTGGGCCTTTTTAAACAGCCATAAGGCTTTGCAAATAATTAATAAGCAATGTAACATTTGTGCATGACTAATAAAGT